AATAGGAGACCTTTCATCGTTTAATTGTGAGCAAGAGTGTTCTTTTTTTGTTTACCCGTTTGAAAATTTCCACGTTGGTCACCCACTGAGGCCAGTCTATAGATAGCATTCGTCTGTAAGTCCACATTTCGAAAGCTTTTTAAGGTTTTCCTTAACAGTCCAAGCCTCACAGCCATAAAGTACAATATGCCAAATGTAACAATGGAGCAAAAGAGTACATAATGAAATGTTAATGCTATTACTACAGAGTACTTTTTTCATTGTATTAAAAGCACTACGAGCAATTTCGATTCCGGTTTTAATCACAATATCGCTGCTTCATTCATCCGTGAACCATGTGCTTAAGTACACTTTTAAACTTGTTCTAAATATTGACCTGCTAGTCCTTAGTCATATGCAACGAAAAAAATGTGTTTTCTTAGAAACAACCATAACTTTAGTCTTTTTAACGGTCCGCCTAATACTAGTCTCTTAACTATACTCATTCACTTTATTAACCATTTGTTGTAATTCAGTCGTGTAGATGCTATTAAAATTGTATAACGAAGATTGTTTATATTGCGTTCATTGATCTTCACACAACAATCCATTTCGAGGAGAGCTTTGGTTATTATAGCTTCTGAATATAAATTGAAGAGTATAAGAGAAAGAACACATCCCAGCTTTACTCACTTTTTATAGCAATGTCGTTGGTCTCCTCTTGCTCCACTCGGACAGTGGCGCGTTGATTCAAGTACAGATTACGATTGAATGCGATATCTTTTTCGTTGAGATGAATATCCTTCAGCATCACGATCGGTCGATCATGTAAAACTCGGTCGAAGGCTTTCTCATAATCGTCGAAAGAGAGGTATACATTTATGTTTCTCCAATTTCGGTTCAAAATCTGTACTGCAATTAGGGTTTCTCTCGTTCCCACACCACCCGGAAACCAAACTGACAATCGTTAAGATGTTCATCACATATTGACCTTATGCGTTCATGTAGGTTTAGCACTTGGCTCATTAATTTAATCGTTCGAAATTCCTCACATTTCTTTGAATTTGATTTCTGTGGGAGCGTCACAAAGACGGATTTCAACCAGTCATCAAGAATTTAACCTGGATCATGCACTATGTTTATGGGCTTCACTAAGCCGCCTATATTATCTTCTTACACCAGTTTGAGCACATCTATGTTAACATTATATAATTTAATGATTGAAGAAAGTAAAATATCGCACCCCATTGAAACACTTACCGAAGTAGCTGTGTACATGCGTTTAATATCCACTGTAATGAGGAAGAAAACGATCGCTGAGAGGAAACGAATTACTTACGTGGGAATAAAATAAACTCTCAAGTCCGTAACGATCGTGGTTAAGTATCAATAATTACAACGCATCTCGACCGAGATGAGATCCAATGAGAGGTTGTACTCGAATTTCAATATATTTTTAGATTTCACATTCGTGCAATTGCAGTGCAGTGCGTTCTTGTGTTCTTAGTCAAGAAAAAATTACCAGATTACAGTTTTTATTTCATTTAATATGTTATGTGTATACGGAACTCTAAAAGCGAAATCAAGCGAATCTATTTTTGTTTGCCCTAATTAAATCAATGCATAATACTATGTTCGCAAAAAAGGTATAATAAAGCATCCTATTATCGTATCTTAATGAGAGATAAAATAAATAAAAAATCCTAAAAGACATTAACAGGAATTATATTGTATGTCAAAAAAAAATATTCAGAAAGGGTTAGAATATTATTAAAAAAGGATGAGTTACTTTTGATTCCTCATTTCTCGGAAAGGATATCCTATTTAATCGAAATGTTTTTTGGTATTTATATAATGCTCATATTGAATATCGAATGTTTGTGGTACGGTTGATAAATAAAAATTTTATTACTGGGTAGGCACGTAAAATGCCTTCAGTGACTATGTTTGAATAATTACAACGCATTTGTATAACACCCGGCTACGTAACTTGTAATTGGATGTTGTGGGAACAGACAAAATGAGGTGGAACAGACACATAGATCACGATGGTGAAGAAGAAAATAAATAAAACATGATATTAAATACTATTAATGTTCTGTTGCAGTTCTCATATTGTAGCAAACTTACTGTCAAGTATTGTTTAGAATAAAACTAGCTTATCGCCAGCGGCTTTGCCTACGTAGTCGCATATAATACGTATAAACCTGTCTCTTGAATCACTCTGTATGCTAACGAAAATCGCATAAAAGATTTGAGTAGGTTAAATGATCTCAACGTACAAGCAACGGGAAGCTACTTTGTTTTATACTATGTATAGATAAACAAATACCTATATTTCAACTCTTCGCGATATTTGATTCCTAGTCAAAAGAGAAAAAATAATCAAAAAGGTTATTTTTTTTTAAGTTATGTTTTTAATATAATAATATTTATTAATGACTTAAAGCGGAATCAATGAAAAATATAAAACTTAACAATTAAATACAAGGCAACACCACCATGAATAGCTCAGTGGCGTAGTGGCTAAGCGCCACGGTCCGTGATCATATAATGGTATAATCATATTTCATTTTCTAAAAGCTTTCAGTGTGACCAACGTAAATGTTATTATGAATTGTTTGACTTTTCACTCAAAGTATAAACCTTGAAACATGTGATGGTGCGCAGTGTGGCCCACAAACCGCGATGTAGAATAACAATGGGACAGCCTGAAACACCGCTGCGTATAAATTAGGGAATTATATTAATCGCGGATAACGCCCCGACACCTAACGAGGTTCCTCAGGGAATGGGTGCTATACCGAGCGTTACTTTATATACGGATTAGTCAGAAATCAGGGAATTAATTCCCAGCTTAATAGCACTACAGATCCTAACTTCGAAGATACGATACATTTAGACGTACTAAATGTGGAACATTAGGATTATCTTCATGTTACCTCGTTGATAGATTTTATATATCTTTACGAAGCTCACTCACGTACTAAACCCCTATTTATAGAGCAGCATTTTGTTATCACGATTTTGTTTAGCCAGAGCCATAGAAAAATAATAAAAGCAGTCATAAAAACAAAATCGTAAGTAGAGTTTATGCAGATTGTAAAAACAATAAAATTAAAAATTCATGTTTGTGTTAAAAAATGTACATCGTTGTAAATTGGTGACTTTATAAAATTATCTAGCACATAAGGAGAATAGCCAAAAAGGCAAAAGTTAAATCTCATAATGGAGATTATGGAAATGTTTTTATAAATAAGATATGAAGCGAACAGGAGATTTTTTCGAAAAAGAATCCCCTTTTGACACCAATATATTGATTGTGGAGTCAACCGTATGTTAAAATTTTAAAAAATATTTAAATATTGTGTGAATTTATTATTACCCTTGGCAATTTAATATCTCTTGGAGCAGCTATAATATCAACGATGGGCCTATTAGGAAGGCGCATAACCTTTTTTATAATCTAATCTGCTGTGCTTCGGATGAGTACTATCAATTTAAAAGATTACCCGTGGAAATTAACGCAAGATAACAGGGAATTAGCGACGCACCTGGGGAAGGATTAGGGGCTCAGATAACTGAATATATTACTACAATAAAGGCCACGAAAGAACGAGAATTTATCCAGTATGATATCTTCAGTAGGACTATTGGTGTCTAACGACTAAAAGTGGTGCTGCGATTGCGTTATCCAAGTTCTTTGTTATAAGTCAGCCAGCTCATCTTCGAGGAAAGCGTAACATATTTTAATATTGTGTTGGCTTTGTTCAGCTGCTTGTCACAAACATAATTAGCTTCTTCAAACAAAGATATCTACGCAATGAATATAATGTCTGCGCGTAATTGGCAATTGGATGAGTTTGTTTGTTGTTGGACGAAGTTAATCAAATACGCCAGTTAGAAGGATAAGTGTAGATTATGCGCAACAAAATAGCTTTTCGACGTCCACCAATGTTTGTTAATATCCAGAATTTCAAACGAATTTAACGATATCTTGAAATAAGTGTTTTGAATATTATAAGACAATGCTGACCGCTTCGCACGTTTGATGTACTGAATAAAAAAAGTAGACATAATTTGTAAGGCTTGTGTCCTACAAGTGAAAATACAGATTTTTGTTATATATTCAGAAAATTAGAACCACTTTAACATATAAATATTTAACAAAATAAATTTTATGACACTGCTTTGGAAAGTATTACGCTTTGAAAACTTGAAAAAAGTAGGGAAAATATACTACAGAAATTGTCTAAAATACATATAGTATTAAATTAGTTACATAAAATGATACAACTTTCATTATCAGAGCTATAAACATATAAGCACAAATAACAAAGATATAAGAAAGATTGAAGATTGCCCAGACGCCCATACGTTTTTCGCTACCGTTGCACTATGTGACGTCACTCAGTGCTTTGAATTTGTAGGAAGCGTTTTGTACCAAGTAATAGCAGTTCAACAGACATAAACTATTAATCGCAGACATTATGTTACTCCTACATTATTTCTGAAATATTCATGGACTATTTATTTATAAAATAAAAAAAATGTGAACTAGCCCATTATATTGTGATTCAAAATGACGAAAGACAGGAAAATGTTTTTAAACACTTTCTGTACTCTTTGTGATGTCTGTTACTGATAGGATAGCGTTCCCGAAATTTATACCATTAAATAATAAAACCGAATTGTTCTAATGATGAATTTATTGCTTCTAATTAAATTATAATTTAAAAATGACAGTTGAAATGCGTACAGCGATGACATTAACGTAATATTAGTGCATATAAAAATGTATGACTTTGGTTTTTGAAAATTATTTTTTACACAAACCTTGTCTTGATAATAACAAACACAACAAAAATATGTCTAACTTGGTTAAGAAGTTCTGAAGTTACATACGTACTAACATTTTGGTGATTCATTTTTATTTATGTAGATAGATGTTAATGATTGTTCTTATCACAATAAAAGGCCAACAATCGATTTTTTTTCTTTACGAAATTAATATACTATAATCAATTTAAAAGTCCTTCAGCAATAATAGCGCCACAATCAACGACATATTTGCTTCCTGTGACACATTTTGCTCTATCACTTGCTAAGAACACTACGATATTGGCGACATCTTCTACTTTCGCAATTTTCTGTAAAGGAGCTACTTTTTCATAAAATTGAAATATCTCATCATTTTCTTGTTTGCTCAGGCCGGCTGACACAAATAAATTAGTTTTTATTGCACCAGGATTAACGGAATTGACTCTTACTCCTTTGGGTCCTAATTCTAAAGCAACACATTGTGTAAACATATCGAGTGCTGCTTTCGAAATACAATATGCTGTCATAGACGACAAGGGTTTGGTTGATAAAATGCTGGAAATGTTTACAATATTACCCTTGGATTTAATCAAATGTGGGATAATTTTGTCCGTTAGAAGGAAGGTGCCACGAACATTTGTTCCCATGACGCGGTCAAAAGCTTCAATGCCATTTTGTGTCTTGCCCATCACGCATGTGCCGGCGTTATTGACTAATATATCAATTTTTCCAAAGTGATTAATGGTTTCTTCTACGATTCTATTAACGTCTTCTTCAACACTTATATCAGCGATTATAATCATCGGTTTTAATCCATTTATCTTCTGACACTGATCGCCGACTTTAGTCAGTTTATCTTTGTTTCTGCTAATCAATGAGAGTTTAGCAGATAGTTTGGCAAATTCAACTGCACATGCAGCTCCAATGCCTGAACTAGCACCTGTTATAACCACAACTTTGTGTTCGAACTCCATTTGGTTCAGTTGTCGAACAAAGACTGACAAAAGGCTTGAAATAGGATATATCCTCAGTGGAATTAATTACTATTATGCAAAACGCGACAGTAATATGAGTTGAAAGTTAAGTAATGCAGCATGCGAGACTAGGACATCCATTTATAGATCGAGTTTAGCGGTTGTATTAATAATGGATAGACAATTACCATTTAGAGATCTGATGGCATAACGCTTTTAAATTCCGCCTATATAAAATTTTGCTATATTTTATGATTAAAAATAAAACTTCTAAAAAATTTACATTAGCATTAATTTAATTATGTTGTTTAAATGTAGGTAGGTGAGTTTTGTTTTTATTTATGTGGTACTTGTAGAAAAGGTAGGTATAAAATGAATACTAGTAATTTAAAACAATCTTAGTTTACGGCATAAACACGAGGTTTCATATTACATGCTTTCTATTTATTATGAGTGACCATAATAAATAGAAAACATGTAATATGCATTGAAATCTAGAACTTCTGCTTAATATTTAAAATTGTCAATGTGGTGATTTTCTGAAAACAAGAGCTGGAGAACTTGGTGCCCAATATTTTTTAAAGTTTCATCACGGTTTAAGTTGTTAGAGAATTAACAGAGATTTCGTATGGTATTTGAGCCCATGTTATTTGACCTGATCCATTGAATAATTACTTAGATGTATTGATAATTTCTAATGACTTGAAGATCAACCAGCACCATTCTGACACTGATGGAATATTAATAAATTCAACAAAATTATTTGTTATAAAATTGTACTTGTATATACGTAAGTATACGTATTATATTCGTGTCCTAATGACATTGGAATTAGTCAAGTGTAAAAGATTTCACATGTCAATTAGAAGGTATGGAAAATTTGAACTACTTGCTTAACCATGCTTTTTTCTCCATCCTATTATTAATATTATAAATGTGAAAGTTTCTTTGTTTGGATGTTTAGATGTTTGGATGTTTGTACGTCAATCACGTCGAAACTACTGACCGGATTTTGATGAAATTTGGTATACAGATAAGGTGTTAGCTGGCTTAGATAATAGGATACTTTTTATCCCACTAAACATTTTCCTAGGGTCCACGCGGGTGAAGCCACTGGCGAAAGCTAGTACTCCATAAAATCAAAAATACAGCGTCTGGAAAGTCGTAAAATTAACAAAGATCAATTTAAGGTAATATTATAACATTGTTTTGAACTGGAAATATTAACAACCACTAATCTCGGCAGGATAGTATTCTTGGCAACGAAAAGATGGAACTGTTTATAAAAGGGTGTTGCTTTTTTTCTCAGTAAATCAGGATTTTATGTGCCAGTTTCACGAAGTGGAAGCACGTCGAGTTAATCCTCGTCTGACATTATTGCCTTTTTAGTTGTTCAGTACCCATGTACTAAATATTTTTCAATAATTTTGGCGTCGTATTGATTCTTAAAATTAAAAACACAGTTTTTAAGTTCTGAAAATCATCAATCAAAATCTTTACTTTATCTTTAGACTGTATTCCCCAAAAGTTAGCTGAAAAAATCAGTTGCAAGTTCTTTATCGTTTGCAGTATTTAGTTTCGATCATAAAAGTTCCTCGTAGTTATCAGTATAATAGAAATATACGGAATCTTTAAAATAATGATTATGTTCTGATACTTGTATGTGCTTCAATTGGCGTAAGTAGATAATGAATCGTTAATAAACGATTGTAATTGTTTTTGCTGCATACTGCGTACGTACTGTATGTGTAGTCTGGTATTAGTATATTTAAGGCTAATGAGCTATAAATGGAGTATGGAAAAATTGACGGAATTTGTATAATTTATATCACTAGAAACATACATTGCTATAAAAGACAGTCCGAGCTCCATACTTTGCTCATAATCCTTTGTTTTTTAGGAAAATATTATATGTAACGGTATATTATTTTACTATTACACAACGTTATATGATGTCGTTATGATTTAACTTGTAATTGATTGACGTAAATACTGCTTTACTTTTATATTTTCTTATAAGTATTGTAATGGAAAGTGACTTCATATTTTAATGAAGTAATTTTTCAATCTTTACGCTTTGTCTGAAATAAAAAAGGGAGAAAAAAGCAGCCCTTGCCGAGTTTCTGGCCTTTTCTTCTCATTACAAGGTCTCCCGCCGTAGATATACGAACTGATGGCGTAGCTCTCGACTTTCACAAGTGCTTGTTACAGCCTAGACTGAATAAATAATTTTGATGTTGATAATATTTGTTTGATTACATTATCATCATCTCCACCTTCTTAACGTACCCATTGCTGGGCTCAGGCCTTTTTATGGATGGATGTAATCGATTTTAAACTATAAAAAACATAACAAATATTCATAATAGTCATCAATTAAAGGATGAAGAAATAATAGAACATATCAATTTTGATACAATTTATTTAGTCATTCCGATAAACGAAAGACAACATACATATTTAATTTGAAGCGATTTATATTTACATACACTCTTATGATTAAAACTTAGTTTAAAAGCTCCCTAAATTGTCTTTGGCACTTGCATTACGATAATACTTGTTTTATGGAAATAGTACATTTTGCATTTTATAGACTACGTCGAAAAAGCTAATAATAGTTTGGTTATTTGTGACTATTGAATTATAATGAATTCTTCAAGAAAGGATCATTATTAAGTCATCTGATATACCTATCTTTAATAGCTTTTTGAACGTGAACTTTTTTATGTATAACCAATATAACTACATAAATGTTTGAATTAAAGATGCTGTAACAGTCTCTACTTCTTTTTATAGCAATAGATAGTTCAGGTATGTTACTTTTCAATCAACCTTGTGTTAATTTTCACAGCGTACCAACTTCAAACGATGATTTATAATTATAACTCTTAAGCAAGGCGTAAGTCAATGAATTCATTTTGTAATCGGTTTATTTAAAAAATAAATTGTTTAATATTTAGGAAAAGAATTCGTATATTACACAAGTAAAATTATTTATTAAATATTTGCAGGTGGTGATTGAGATCAATTAAAAGAAACTTAAGATTTTCTCGATTACATATTTCACTCATAATTTTAATCGATTTTCTACTTTTTTGTGATCAACAAAATTCCTTTGAATATACTTATGCAAAAAAATATTTTGTTTCATATAAAAATTGTATTCCTTAATGTACATAGTAGTACTTAGCCATATAATGAGACAGTAAAATATACAATGTAATTTTGTACAAAACGACGTGTGTAAAACACTGGAGGGAGTGCGATACTGGACGTTTGAGTTTAATTCACCCTTTTATATAAACTTATGTTTACATCCTACTTAATTCCGAACAATTTTAATTCTAAGGTAATTACAAAAAACCCATCGCCGGGGCCATTTACTTTAGAATTAGACTTCTAGTAATCTAATTTTGAAAGGAGTATAAAGATAGGTATTAGTATTAAAAATCGGACTAGTGAGTGAAAACTAGGGATGCTCCCGATACCGATACAAATTTCCGATATATCGGAATCAGCGATGGTGATTTGCCGATACACCGATTCATTTTTAAATTACATTTATAATGCAGCACAATTCGACTACATCTAAGTATCTCCAAGTTAAATTCTTTCTTAGACTTGTGCTGTCCACCTCACATAGCCCATTCCGCTAGTTACTTCTGTAATTATTTTGTGTAATTATTTTAATTTTTTGGAGGTTAATATTTTAGCTTTTACGACTTTTTATACCTTTGGAGCTTTCTTTGAATCTACGCTGCCCGTATCGGTATCATCGATAATGTATTATAAATATCGGAATCGTGTCATCCGAAGTAGGTATCGATGCATCCCTAGTGAAATCTACAGTTTAATTGTAACCCTAATTAACTTCTATAATTTATATCTTTGGCATTGTTACTATTACCACCATTTGATATGAGCAATATGCATTTTTAGATGAAAGCTGAACACATGTCAAGCGTTACACAGATTAATTAATAGTATGTAAATTTATTAAATTAGGAAATGAGCCACTGGAACATTGACATGTTTTATTAAATAATAATTCTATGGAAGACAAAAATTATAAACTTGATTTTTAAAATCTTTTTTTTAACCCGTCAAGGGACGAAAGAATAAATTCTTAATAATTTATTAAAACCAATATTATTTTAACGATTATCTGCTATAAATAGGGTACATTTGACCTACAGGGGAACTTTATAAAAGTTGAACTAATAAACGTCAACAAATAAATTGAGGGCTAAGAACAAAACATAATTTAGATTTAAACTAAACAGTCTTAGAAACTGGCATTTACACAAGTTTTATGGTATAACTTTAATGGTCTTTAGTTCAATTTTAAATTTTTTTGATTAGCTTAAAATCATAGTTAGGTAATTCTACAAATCATAGTTAGGGTACCTAGTTTTATCGATGTTGCTAAAGTAAGTCGGTTGAGTTAAATCGATAATTTATTAATATAGCTATTTATAAAAAAAAGTTTTGTTCATATATTTAAGAAAACGAAATACTTTTAATATTACACAACTTTTTTTGCAGTTGAAATTAAATAATGATAAAAATTGTGTTATTTAAGGGTAATTACAAGATACCAACAAAATTAAGTCTTTCAGAATTACATATTTTATGTTACTTTGTCTGAATAGAGTTGAGCAGATAAATTATTTTATTTCATATAAAAATTGTATTCCTTAATGAACACCTACTTAGCCAATTAGAAGACAATAAAAAATACAAGTTTTTTTTACAAAACGGGCGTGTATAAACATTGGAGTGACAATATGATAAAACATGATGAAATTATAACTTTACAATGCTTGTACACGTCATATATTACGTATGTTACAATAATTTACCTCGTCAGTACACGGAGTACGCCGAGTGTCATATAGGGCAGTGTGTCCGGTCCCGGTCGATATAAGCGAGGACCGATATATTATTATTTCATCCACTCAACTGTGAAGTAGCCCCGCCAAAATATTTTCGCTCACAGCCATTTTAAAACGAACATCAATTCATTTATAAATTTTCGATGAGCAGTAAAATCCATTATTATACTAAAGTTACGCCACTGCAACACGTAGGTTTACAGTAATTTATATGACTAATTAAAAGCAGGTACGTATGACTCCTGACTTAAGCATATTTGGCGAATAGTACGAGATGTTTCTATAAACATATGATTCATCTACGGTTAACACATGTTATTACAACTTAATTTCTATTTTAGAAAAATAAATTAATGTTTCTACAAACTACAGCTATCGATGTACACTGAATATTTACAATAATTATTAAACACACCTACTTATATCCTAAGCAAGACGACTAGAAACAAATGACATGAGTATCTCTACAATCTTCAAAATTACCTGATCACAATATCGCTTGGCAATATAATCTTACTTGTTAACTTAAATAACTACTAGCAAATTCTAAGAGATCATTGTTTTCTTATGAAGCAAAAACTTCCATCACAATGGCACTCGACATGAACGCCCAGAAGTTTATGTAGATTTAAAAGTATTTTTAAGAATACTGCCGTGTCAGAGCAATGCTATTTCAATGTATTTTAATTTCAGGTCTCAACTAGGTAACATTTGTTTTTACTTTTTGGATGAATATAACTTTAATATAGCCGTTACATAATTAAATTGTCTTATTATAAAAATCAAAACAAATTAAGTATTCCTAAGAACAAATCAAAATAGAATTTTTGACTTGAACGCATTTTCAATAATAACAAATTATCTCCAAACAGTACTAACATATTTAAAAAAGGTTATACAAATTATACTCTCTTTCTAATATTTGTTGATCTGCCATCCGTGAAAAGGGAGATGAAATTGGGTTTTTTATATTCTAAGAGGATTTCAGGTGATGCGATTCGTGGTCGCACCTCCGCAGCACCGCAAAATGGGTCATCTGGAAGTTGTTGGTGGAGCGACAGCCCCTCTCCAATGTCCCTGTCATTGTATAACCCATGTTGAAGTCAGCTTGTGTCACGTTTGTAGTTAGATACAACTGTTGACGAGAATAACACGTTAGTGATTAAGCCGACAGAAGAAATAGCTTCATATCCTTCAAGGCAATTCTTTACTTTTCGAATATTGGTTTAATTGTCATATTGGAATAATAAGTACTACTCGTATGAATTAACAAGACACCTTTTCTATTTCTCCGAAAATGAAATTTTATACATTTTCTAAATGCTTACATGACTCCAAAGAAACGCAATTTTCCATTATTTATAATGGAACGGGATAGAGCTGACTGACACTGTCTCTGGTGCACAGATAATCTTTTCATCAGAATCATAATAACAATTTGAAGTTTTTCAAATTTTCATTCAAGGACAAATATAATAAGGCCTGAGGTGTCGTGTTAATTTGTACGAGTTATAAACATATATCAAGCGTCGCGTAATGGTATGATTCCTCTCCCAGTTGCACGCAGCGCGGTTATAATAGAGTATAGTTCCAAACAAGGCACTGATGAGCTGTTGTTGAATTCGTTCAGGAGTAGAAAAGATGTAAATTGAGCTTTAAATTTTATTTATTTAGTAGATTTTGGGAAGGATATTTAAAATACGAATATATTCATAATTTCATTAGTGATAAAGAAAATAGAGATAGTAATAATTTGTGGGGACCAGTAATATTGTAGCGGCATTGTTGCGTTAGCACTTCTGCGTGCAGTAGAGTTCAGAATCAAAGGTATTATCACTACAAAGTCGCTTTCCGTATGTGCCTTTATATTTTTAGATTTTTAAAACTGCGCAAATTTTGATGCTGTTTTAATTAAAAGATAAGGTAATACAAAAGGAAGGTTTTTATGTATAATATATACCACACAAGCGAAGCCGCTTTCGGAAAGTCGTTAATATTATGTTAATGTGTGTCTGCTAGGAATTCATCACAGTTTTTGGAAATTTTGTAACACCGTTCTGTATCTACCGATAATAACATGTTTATGGTATATTAATTTGTATGTAATAAATAGCGATTGGTTTAGTATGTTAACTGTAGGACAAAATACAGGCGGAGACAAACAAGGCGTCAAAAGTATCGTCAAGTACATTGTTTATGTCCACTAGGGTCGTAATTCAAGCTTCACATTAAAATTTTACTTTGCTATTTTTACCAACGACTGAATATTATGAGTCAGTACAAACAATGATGCCGAACAACGACGCATAATTCAATATTGAATTTGACGCACATTTCACTTTTATATTTTGAGTCGAATAAAATAAACTACACTATATTATGGAAGTGCAAACCGCAAGTACATACCTAAAATATACGCCTGCGGTTGTTTCACTAGCATTCCTGATAATATTTGCCACCAGTTTAATCATATTAATATATCGGGAACATTTATTTTATTAGTGCACTTATTTGTTTTTTTTTTTTATTAATTGAAATCAAAAAGTGCATGCTTGCACATATAATTTAACTAAACTAATATTATAAATAGTGAAAGATTTTTCTTTGCATCGACTCTGAAATTTAGTAATAATTAAAGATAACTTTTACATTTTGCATTTTACCATCGTCCTTATCTCTCTAAAGTAAAAAAATATTATTTGTGCAATGTCTTCCTCTGAAATCGACGGTGACAGATATATTTACTATTTTTATATTTAGTAACAAAAACTTCTTCATAAAGGGTTGAGTTGAAGCGCTATTGACTTTTCATAATTACAAATTTTAAAAGTAGCGGGAATGCAGCTACTTTAGAATATATAAATTTGCAATAGTGCTGTCAGTAAAATAATTAGAAGTATAATTGCATTCTCATTTAGGGTTTAGATTCTATAATGCATTATATTTTAACCGCGGGGGAGATCCTGGTGACCTGTGAAACAGGTTTCTGCTGAAACCAATTTCGGACCAGTCTCTCACTAAATTAATATACAAAATGTCTTATGACTTGTATCATATAAATGATTTTGCGTTGAGACATTAAATGATTATTATTAATATCGGTAGAGCGGAACGTTCAATAAAAGCCAAGCCGCGCTCATTCAGACGTAAAGTATTTTTTTCTTTTAATAACATAAATTGGAGGACCTCCCGTATTTTTAATTAATTGCCAGTAATGGAGGTAACTATTTTTTAGGCTTTTCAGGGAAAGGAGTAAAAAGGGAGGGTCTACCGACTTTTGACTGATCTTGGTTTGAAGTTGAAAATTGAAGTACTATTGAAAGAGCAATGAATTTATAAAAATCATGACTTTAAAAGCTTGTTCTATAATAAAATAATAATAATAATAATATTCTTTATTGCACGCTAGACAGGACATAATACAGAGAAGATAGAAAAAAGAGAAAGATTACAAAGGGCGACTTATTGCTACGTAGGAATCTCTTCCAGGCAACTCGAGGCAAAGAAAAACATGAACTATATAATAAAAAAGGTTACATTAAAAGTTTGTTCTATAATAAAATGTAATTTATTTTATAATAAATAAAATAGTATTGTTTTCTGTATCTCTTTATACAAACTCTTTGTATACATTTCAGGATTTGATTTATATTAAAAAATATTATGATTGTTATATTTTTACTAAATTTAGTTACCTTAAAATCAGCATCAGTTCCAAGATGTTTAAATGTGCCTACGATATATACTGCATTACCGCCACTCACTACCATCCTAGCTTGAGTGCTGTGTCTGTAACAATGAAAAAAAAATAATATATGATTATTTAAATATTACACCCACAAAGTCGACCGATTTTCATATTTTGATCAGCATTTTACATAAGTTCTGTAAGCGATTATGTTATACTTAATGAGAATATAAATTTAAATTATAGTTAGTGCATTTAGTATATTTAATCGCGAGCAAGGTTTTTAATATTTCGTTATTTTTTTCATGGCTTATCAATGTAATTTAACTATTTCAGGTTTGAGAATGTAAGAGTAACAATACTATAAATGATTGTACAATTAAGCTATTTATTTGCTAGTAATATATCTCCACCAAATTCCAGAAATGACTTCGCTTGCTTTACAAGTAATAGCTTACTACATGTAATTTGTATTCGTGCGAAACCGAGGTGGGTCGCTAGTTTAAAACAATTCAAGAGACTAGGATAAGACGGGAATTGCTAAAGTGCTAAAGTAAAATATAGCCAGGTAATTTTCGAAGGAAGCAGGAGATATTTCGTATCAGGACTCGGGAACAGTAATTCAAGCGAGAGAATTAGGGCGGAAATGCGCTCCAGGTCCGCACCGTACTCTGATATATTATTTTACATACCATTTTTATGTTAAAACTTAAATATTCGTTACCTGCTACGTAATCTAATCGGCCGATTAACTTAATCGAGCCTTACAACCTCGTTTAAACATTGATTATTTTGACTTATTTCATTATTTGATGTCTCTTGCTTGGCTTTGTTCGATATGATAATCGGCCTTAAAAATGGATAATCGGCCGATTTGGTAATCGTGATTAAAATTTACCTGGTGAACATGATTTTCTTTAATGGCTGTTTAAACAACGGTTACAATTTAATCGACTGATTTAATAATCGATGGTCGGTGAACTCCAGCCTTAGTATGGTATTTTTTCGTAAATACCTTGTTGTATTATGTTGTTTGTTTTCGTAAATACCTTGTTGTACGTTCTTATGCGAATTGATGAGATTGTAATTGTATTTTGTAAGTGTGCACGATAGCACCTCATTATATCTTTGATTATGTTTTATTTTAAGTTTATAAAGAATGTCATTTTTGATTTTTGTTTGATACTTTACTCTTTGTACAAAAATTTGTAACATAAAAGATAAAAATAAATCTTCCATTATCCCGTTTTAAAATACCTGATCTCCATCACCCTCCTCAATAATAAGATTAATTTATAACAATACTTATTGTTTCTAAACAGGATTTTATGTTTACGAGTTAACGAGTCAGTAAGACCATAAGTCTGTAACAATACAAATAAACGTAGCGCTGTCACATCATTAGAGGTTAAATCAAATAAACCTTACTTCAAAAGGTAATAAAGCGTAGTTCGTTTCACGCTGTAGTTTTAACATATAGCACTCACTCCTTCCAATCGGTAGGTGGGAGTTAGAAACAGCGTTTTGCGACTTTTTATTTTCTCTATCAATTCTTAATCAAGTGTCAAAGTGTCGAGATGTCAGCAAAAAAGCTGTTTTAGTGGTCACGTGACGGAGCTAGTGCATCCTCAGAGATCGACGATTCTGGATGCCGGGCACGTATCCCAGTTAGTAGGGCGCGGAGCCAACACGTACATCGCGGCCCTAACGGTCGATGTAATGGCAGCCTGCCCTGTTATAACGGCAAACATCCCCGGGGAACTTTGCACGAACAAATTAAAAACCTTTATGCGCACTTTCGTGCTACTTTCTTGCGCGTTATCGCCCAATTCTAGCGTTTCACGAATTTTCTAACAGACAAATTAAAACGTGGGTGCTGTCGACCCACGCTGTAAACACACAAATAGTTTCGGGACTTGAACAAAAGCAAGGGACAGTAACAGCGGTAACAGATCTGGTCGGGTAGTGTTATCATGAAATAAGAATCGTTAAGGAAAAATAGTAAGGCGGAGAGCACAAACCGTTAACGTTAACGGTATTCGCTTAGTCTCAAGCCGTCCTATCATCCGCCACACGCCCACGGGCGGACGATCTATTTTACATTTTTGTATCAATATTTTTAATCGCCGTATTAATAATATTGAATTCTTAAAAATCCCTAAGTTATTCCGAGACCTACAACCTTTTGCAATCTGGGCGACTGTTCTAACCATTGAACTACTCGAGACTAGTGGATTTTTTAAGCATTACTCATTAAAATTATTTAGCAGTATTGCATTGTAAATACAAAATTTTACAATTTTATTTTTTGACCAATGTTACCAGAATCCATTTTAATCGATGGTTGTCAAGATCGCTGGATTACTTCTACATTACTTTCCAAGTTAAAGTTGTGTTATTTAATAGCCCTTCTTTAACAGCAAGCATGAGTTTATTTAATAAAAATAAATGTACCAGTCAGTACTGCTTATATAAATTGCTGCTAGCCCGCGCTAAGCCCGCCGACCGACCATCCGTTGTATTTATTTACGGCACGTTCCCGCCACTTCTCAACATTCTCGACGTTGGCGTGTGGTGGCGCTACGACACGGTGCGATAGTGGCGCCCCCGGCCACTTCCTGCCGTTTGTCAAACGAGGTTTAGCGCACTCACCTGAGCCGAGCCGGTTAATTGCGAAAAGTACGTTAATGTGCAACAAACATGATGAACTGTTTCCCTTCAGACGTGCTTTAAGTGGCTGGTTCAACTTTTTTAATTAATATTTTTATAATGCCTCTTTAATTCGCCTTAATGTTACTTTAATAAAATTATCTTACGAATTAAATGTTATTGAACTAACGACGAGGTTCCTATTAAAGTGTAGAATGTGTAACGTTGTATAATGGAAGTTAATTGATAATAACCTACCTTCTAGTTCCAGCCACTTCTACGACTTTGCAACGTGTCCGTCGCCACCAGCAAGGTTGCAATGTCCAGTAGGACGACGAAGCGCTACGAGCCCAGCCCTCTTCCGGGAACATGAGTACCTGCAGACAAAGATAAGCATCTCATAATATTTTTAATACATTCTGACATTTCTGATCGATTTCTCAAAATTATGAATAAACATTTGGTACAGATACACTTAAAGGGGTCAGCCACTCAATGCTATATAAATATTATCTCAGCAATCGTAGAGAAACTCGCCAAGTAATATTTCAAGAGCCATCTCCAATTTGAAAGCGTAACGAGCCCTTTACGAAACGTCGAGTGCGAATTAACTAAATTAGAAAACTTTACAAGCCTTTCGACGGCGGGTTGAAAAATAGCTTTTTGACTAAAACTAATATTGCGGCCCAGAAACAAAACAGAGGAGTTGTAACGAAGTTGTTTCAGGACGCTAAAGTTTACGTCCGCGGGCGGTGGGTGCGCCAAGCCGCACTTATACGTTTGCTTTTACAACCTCGCGGTATATTCACTAGCTACGTCATCGATAACGTAAACCCGGGAGTATATTGCCGCGGAGACTCATTCGCTCGATTGGCTCCTGGCGTTTCATTCTCATTTCGCCGACTGCGACTTGGGCAATATTTTTTTTTTGTAAAGAGTTTTCCTCCTATCGACAATATTGCGTCATTTTCAAAGAGGCGGAATCTTGGTGGATGGCCCCGCTTTCGGATTGAGTGCACAGACTAATGATCGAGTTCCGTGGCGCCGGGACAGTGACTATACGCCCTTCAACTCGCCCCTTGACGGGTGTAACTACTGTTTAATGGATTTAAAAGCATTTCATTGTACCATTTCAAATGCGGAATGGCTAATGAGAGACTGCAAAACAAATTTTACCATCGATCTAATCATTAAATTAACTACCTACTATATTTATCATTATAACTACCTACTATATTTGTCATTATAGTATGTTGGTTGCATAATGGTACTTCAACAGTTTCTATTATATTCTTCAATTAATATTGAATGTTCGCAGTTCTCTACAACTACAACAGTAAATTTTGTGTTGGAATTTCGGAGTCACGTCTGTCCCTTAGGAACTCACCGTCTTCCTTTGAGTTCTGACCGGATAATTTTGAATGTAACTACCTGCACTGGTTGTATAAGTATGCACTCTATGGCTAGTCGTATCGACTACGGAAGGCCCATTAAGCTTGTTAAAATCGGTGGTCGAACAGAACAGACAATGGAAGCTTACTTTCGCTATATTCATCCAATAAATAAAATGCTGTTCTGTTTTTATATGTAAAAAAAGTAAAAATACTTTTCACCAAATTTTATCAATTTTGCATTCAAAATTTTCTTAATGAAAAATCCATTTTGTCACTCTGAGATGGTAATCGAACCCACGACTTTTACCAATCCGGGCAACTGCTCTAACCACTGAGCTACACAAACCTAATAGGACTGACGAATTTTTCAAGCACTAGTCACTTTTTCGCTATTACAGAGCGTATTTTCATCAATGTTCATCAAACAGCTAAAATAAATATTATTACATTTTTATTTAGAAAAATACTTTTCTTAACTTTTATGATGGTTTTTCTTTTACAGTTTCAAAATATTCATCTCTGAGGACCTGAGGTTAAATCATTATAAAGTATGAATTTATTGAAATATAAAGTATGAACTTAATGAAATATATAATTTTGCCGCATTATTGAAATATAGTAACGTCGTTGTTGTTATTTTCTGAAATATTGACACCTTGAAACCGGCGTGAGAACCACTCGGCTACGGAGGTCGTCGAATGTATAAATGTCGTTGTATAAAAAGATATCGAACGCTAGAGTCATATTATTAAAGGTACATTTTACGATGATTTGGTTACTGAAAACGTGATGTATTATTATTGACAGTTGTTTTATTAGTGATAAGTTGATATATCATTCTATAGCGTAACTAATATGTGTGTAGCTAAAGTTTAAAGTGAAACTCGTTTATCGGATGTCTAAACGTCAAGAAACTATTTCTGGAGTACCTTAATATATATGAAGAGGCACTTATCTTGTGGAATATTCCTTTCTACATAACGTAGCTACTTCAGTATCGAGTAGATAGTATGAATTTCCTTGAATAATTTGGACAGATATGCTCCAATTACGCAAGGTTATCACAGTTCATATTTAATGTACTTTGCTCTAGTTTGACTTTCATATCTGCAATACAAATTTTATTTTGTAGAAAAAACTCAAAATAAGATGTGATATGAACCAATGTCATTAATTTTACATGAAGCTTGACGTCGATGATGACTATATGTTTCCCCGTTATTTTAAGCAATTCTGTTAGACATTTTTTAAAAACGCCAAGGACTGTCTGTATTTCCGTCCGATAATAATGTGAATGTCTTCAAATCAAGAGTGAATAGGCTGTTACTAGGTTAATGCTCTATACCACCCAAGGCTTCATCACCACTTACCATCAGGTGGGATGATAGTCAAGCGTTAACCTATAAAGTATATATAAAAAAAAGCAATCTAACCTGGATTCTTTGAAATCCTTGATTATTTGTAAATCACTTTAAACCTATGTATTTCCAGTATCAATAAATGAAACTTATTTTTCATTTGAAATTAGAATTTTAAACATAAGAACATGAGATTAATTTAATATAGTTTTATTAAAATAAAAATATTAGGCAAAAAAAAAACTGCTAAGAGGGTGTGTATGAAAATGTCTAGCTTTCAATATTGATTTTGTTCATACAAACTGTAATTAAAACAGAAAAACTACATCACATATGCATTGCGTATGTAAGGCTACTGAAAGGATTGAAAGGACAGAAGTATATAAAATTTTCTTGAGAAAAAAGAACAAAAATATCTATTAAATTCACCTTCAAATCACACCACACATTCAATGATACTCCTTTAGTGTTCAATGGAATTAATTGTAGGCTTCTTTCTTTAAAAAAATATTGCACACATTGTTGTAACATGTGGTTATTGTTATAATAATTTTATGTATGTACAGTCATCAGTACGTCACATTATACATACACATTTAATCTTTGATTATTTTTCCATTGCAAAAAATCCCCTTTTATAATTTTCTGGAAGATATATAATTATTAGAATAATAATAGCTTTGCCGCGCGAATTTTTGCAAGGCGAATGTCATATGGCTTTTGCACCGTCTGTGACTACGCTAGCGAAGATTCGTTGATATTTTATAGATAGTAATAAAAAATATTAAATAACATGCAAAGGTATCTTATTTTAATAAAATACGAGTACGCAATACCGAAAATGTTTGTTAAATCTCTTTTATTGATATTTTCTTTATGCAAGATTGATTTCGCCGCATGAATTGGTTGTCAGAAATGTTCAATTAAGAAAATAGAATTTATTTAATAAAAATAGGTGAATAATGGTTATCAATTATATTTCCAAAGTGTCTGGCCCATCACTAATCAAGTTATAGTTCGTTAAATCGATAAAGTTTAATAAGATCCGAGTCGCACTTGATCAGCGTTTATTCCTATCACATAGCTGCCAATTTATTTTTGGAGATCGGTCGTGTTTGTGAAGAAAAATAACACTATAATAAAGGACAATGTTGAAACCGGCCCCATTCACGGTAGTTACAGATAGCTTTCCCATGTCACATTTGACTTTTCCGATTCTGTGGGTACAGACGGGACGTATTTCGCAATTTAAACGAAATACAGAAACAATTTTATAACAATCCGTTTTTAAGACTTATAATAAATCGTTATTGAAGTTTAAAAATGTTTAGCAATTTTTAATCAGCTTAGAGCAATTGTCCATAGACAACTAAAATGTTGTGTGATAAATAAAAAAAAAATCGTTGTTCCTGTCTAGTGTTAACTTTATAAGCTGAATAGCCATGGAGTCGTGAAAAGGCGTGAAATCACGGCTGAGCGAGTTCCAGACAAAACTCTAGCCCATCAATATTCAGCGGGTGGCGCGTGCGGCCTCTCAACACCTTTTTTTATCGACACCGATTCGTACGTGTTCCATCCAATTACATAGCGAGACCGCACGTTTGGTGCTTTGTTAATTACTCTATAAACTGCACTTTACTGGTTCGTTGGTTATAGTTTGGATATGATAACCATTTTAACGCTTAGAATAATAATTATTCAGTTTTAACATTCCATAGATTCGTATGTATGGTTCCGTAATAAGAGAGGAGAAACAGAACTTTACATTCTATTTTGTAACTTCTCTTAAATATTCACAATATTAGTTGTTTTTATTTATTCTTCTTTGCCTAAAACTAAAGACTAATAGCAGACTTAATGCAACAGAGGCATTCTCAACCAGTCCACAAGTATATTATTCTGTTATAATAATAAAAAAGACTTGTTATTTTGTTTTTACTATTTTAATTTGAATAATTTCACAATCTATTTTACTAACTCATTTTCGAAGGCCATCACAATAGAGTCATATTGAGAACCTAATCTACTAAGAAGTCTTTCACCAATATATGCTTAGTTGTCAACATAGAGTCAATAATGTACTCTTCGATATTATTGTGTAATTTAACAATAATATCGAAGAGTACATTATTGACTCTATGTTGAAAGCTAACACACCACATTGATACAGCTAACGTACAAAAGTTAATCTTTAACCTATACCTATAATGAACCTATTTATAAAAACTTAAATGATTGGAGCTCATTTTTTTTTATTTACAGCAAAAGATTTTCTGAGTATATAATTTTATTATTTACCACAGGAACTCTTATACAATCATTCTCGTGTTGTCTGGCCGTCTGTTTGTCACAGCCGATTTTATCCGCTGCTGGATTATTGGAAATTGCGTACAATTTATGTAAGCTTACTAGCTTCCATCATCATCATCATCATCAGCCCTTTTATGTCCCCACTGCAGGGGCTCAGGCCTTCCTTATGGATGGTTAAGGAGGATGGGCCACGATCCTCCACACTGGCCCAATGCGGATTGGAGGGTATAAACGACTGCAAATGCAGCCGGGACTAACGGCTTAACGTGCCTTTCGAAGCACAGAGTAGCTTGAGATAATATTTTTTTTGTCACCCATCCCGTGACCGAAACTTGCGAAAGTTGCTTAACAATAACGATCGCGGGCCGCGACACTTATACACTACGTCACCGAGCTACTGACATAGCTTCCATACCTAAATGTATTTGAAACATGGCGGCTTTTTTGTAGTAGGCATAGATGTAGTAGGTATATCATAAAAAAAAACTAAAAGATTGAAAGATCTTTCTGATTTATTTTGTGAACCTTAACTACATTTTTTTATAATTTTAGATTTTTTTAGGAGCGACAGGATCGACGAAACTACTGTCTAAAGTCCTATTAATATTATAAATGTGAAAGTTTCTTTGTTTTGATGTTTGTCCGTCAATCACGCCAAAACTACGGAACGGATTTTGTTGAAATTTTTCAACCAAAATTTTTTATGGAGACTCATATCGTTTTACTTTATCGTTTTACATAAAATATTTATAATAAATACAATTAGATTACATGGCAACTCATAAAAAGTACGATTTTTTAAGTTTAATATTTGCGCGGGACTATCTGCGCGAGTCCGACTCACTCTTGGCTGGTTTTTTAATCTGTAGATAGGAGTAAAACGATATGAGTCTTCATATAAGAGGTACACCATTATCCATTCAATATTATGATATTGTTTATAGTGAACTAGTTTTCCTGTATTATAAATATATATCTGTCTCTTCAATCATTCTGTATATTGATGCATTTTAATTCGTTGTGTAATTTAAAAGATCACAACTAAAAAAGAGAGTTTACGTTGACTATGATAGACAAATATTCAGCAAAACCATGTCTTTCATCTTGTCATTGCGTATTATTATCTTTATATATTTTTTTTATATTATAAGCTAAAACCACCTTTGTTACCAAGAAAAAATATATATTGATAGCTCCTTTTTTCATTTTATAGTTTCTCTGAAGGTGGCTTAAAAGTAGTATATTATTTTGTTTAAACATAGTCAACATAAAATATTTTAAATAAAACTTGATTCTACTGTTTAAAAATGAAGATTGGGTAAAATTGTTGTTCAGCCTAAGTGGCAACAAAGATGAAATTAGGGAAATCCCGTAAAGCAATAATCCTCACGTCGTATTCATAGTCCAGACTAAATCCAATTACGGCTCGCCGACCTCGGAGGTGCTGCTGTACAAATCAAAGATATAAAGAATTCAAGTAGAACAAAATGACT